GGTATGCTTACCGAGCTGACACGACTCACACTCTAGAGTGGACAAGTGAGATAAGCCAGGTACCATTTTCTGAAGTTTTGACAAACTGGGATGTCCTAACCGTTTATGTAATAAATTTGGTGAATCAGTAACGAGAGAAGTTATTGGAGGAAGACAAGATGCGAGTCCATGTGATTTTGCAAGGATAAGGTAATAAAGTCCATCTGATTCACGTCCGTACCAATGATCCGCCCTGTACTGCGTTCCAGTATGAAAACAAGGTCATCAAGAAATAAAATAGAAGATTTAAGTGATTTGGCTAAGCAACTAACGGCTATGAGATTAAAAGGACTACCAGGAACATAAAGAACTGAGTCTAAAGGTAACGAAGGAAGTGAACTTGCTTGACATGTTGCAGTTGTCATGGCTTGAGACCCATTGGCCATTGTGACTGTTGGAAGAGATTGAGAATATGAGACTAGTGAAAAGAGATTTGTTACCAGAAATATGATCAGATGCACCTGAATCAATGACCCAAGACTCAGAAGGTAAAGATTGGGAGACACCGGTCATGCTACTATTTGTTGGAACAACGGAGGTTAATCCTGAAGATGTCTGTTTACGTGCTTTGTACTGAAGGAACTCAATATAATCCGGTAAAGAAACCTTCTGGATTGGATTTATTGCATTTAATCCAACGGATTGTGAGTTAAAGGCTTCAGGTACGAATTCCATTATAATATCGTGCCGGAAAAAGCAAAAAATTGTTGGGGATCACTGTTCACGCCGGAAAAATCATTGTAGCTCGCCGGAAAATTCCAAAGTTGTCGGAATATGTCGGAAATAGTACCAATGGACTCGGAATTGCTGTGCGACCAGGCTGTCCTGAAGAAGCTCGGCCAAAAAATGGCCGGAAGACTTGCCGGAAAATATTCTCCCGGCGGCGCGTGAGGGCGCGTGGAAGGGTTTCTGTCGGAGAAATTTTTAGGGTTTGGTCGCCGGAAGATGATCTATCTCGTGGTGGTGTTGGTTTTTTTTGCACAACACCAATGGATATGGACTTTTTCTGCGGACAGTACTGTTTTGCCGGAAAAAAGCTATTTTTTTTCTTTCTTCCCGGAGTCGCTGGAATTTATGCACATCGATAAATATCTCACGATTGCTCTGATACCATGTGAGAATGCACGGGAGAAAAATCTTATTGATTGATAATGACAATGATACAATGAGCCCTATATATATAATACATGTCCTACTCCTAATACATATGGAATTAGGGTTATTTACTACTATTTATACAATGAAACTAACAGGATCAAGAAGCAGCCAAGATACAACTTATGGAATGTAGACTGCCGCAGCATAAATCACCAGGCGTTAGGACCATAGGAGCTTCAATTCCTCCATCATGAGAAAATAAATAAGCTAAGCGAAAAATATTGAGTAGCCATAACGAAATCACAAAACTTTCCATTCACAAAGCACAGCATTGTAAAATAGACAAGAATACAAGTGGTCAAAAAGCAGAGAAGCTCACATAGTTTAGAAAGACTAGATTCGCAGACAAGTAGCTAGCATTTAACAATTTACACAAAAGGTTCTCACTTGCTTTTCACCTGTCACATTCCCAACAAGAAGCCTGAGCATCTCCATCTTGAGAAGATATAACACTTTGGACTTCAGTGTCTGCCTATATTAATCAGTTAATTAATATCCTGTCAGATCATTAAGTTATAACAATGCTTTGACATTCTTAAACACTTAAAACATTAAATACAAATAACAACGTAAAAATTGTCATAAAAGTACCTTAATACGAGCAGAAAGAAAAACTCCATTTTCATCTGCCTTCGGACCCTTTTGATTAAACTGATGCTTTCTATCCATACAAATTGCAAGCTACATATTTGGGAGATAAAATATAATTAGACCAGATAGATAATTTATCATTATCATATCTGTAAGAAAATTATTTAAGAGAAAAGGCAAAGGAACATGTCATTCACAAGTACTCATGAAACCTCCATATTTATCATTTTAGAAGATCCACCTTTTTCTTAAGAAAGATTCACTATTTATGACTGAACTTGGCAACAGATCCTTAAGGAAGCTCATCACAATAAGGAGAATTACATACTAACAGCTTTGAGAAAAGTTGAAACTCTGATCCACGTTTGTAAGATATAAGATCATAAAGCTTGAGATTACATGTCATATTGCACATTACATCTACGTCAAAAGACTGAGTATGCTGGTGGACATAAAAAAAAGTCACACTGTTCAAGAATTACTGCCTGCAACTTACCATGTGTAATTTCTGGTTAATTAAACAGGTAGATAGGTCAATTACACCATTGGCTGGCATTCTAGGTAATGGCTGTGACTCTTCCCAGCACCAGCGAACTTCCCGTACAAACTCTATCCAGAATGCTGCAATAGCTAATAAACATCACAGAGAAATAGATCTTAGAAAAAGAATCCTGAATTAACTTAAGTTGCAGGAATGTAAAGGAAGTGATTTCTTGAATTGATTCAGAACATTATAAGTTAGAAGGTACCCCTTATATTGCAATCACCAACCCAGAGAGCGTGCAGACAGAACTGCCCAAAAAGTGATTCAAGAGGAGCGCCTTTAATGGTCCGGGAATATTTGTGATCTCCTTCGGCAGAATCAGGTTGGGCTGCTTCAACTGTATGAACAAATTTGAATAAAAGCAAGATGAGTCAACTGAATGTTTCTCCTTCCATTTGGACCATGAAATTCGGAACTCCAAGACCATATGATCAATTAAATTCTGCAGAAAATACTTCTATTACATCTTTTTGAAATTTTCTTCTTGTTAAAATGATCTATCATTTGTGGAGTAAAAACATATCAAAATACTTGTCCTCAATATGGCTAGGTCAGCCAAGAATCCAGCTGACTTCACATATCTCCACGCCATTTCTCTATGATAAGTTTTCTTTTTTCTGATTAATGAAACACGCATCTAAGTACAGAACAAAAAGAGGGGTTAAATTGCCCTATCAAGCTGTTGAACTTCAAGGTTTTCACTTATAGAAGCATTAGTTGATTTTGGTAGCTGAGTGCACTTAAAGAATCTGAGCATATACAGCAAACATTTAAGTTAAAATGAGATAGCACTAAGCTGTTATAACTCCTTCCCTGCCTCCAATTCTCTCTCAGACCAGTGTTTTCATGTATAAAAGTCATTGATCATAATATCAAACCGTATAGTAAGTAAAAGAAAGTATAGAACCACAGAGTGGTATTGTCTATCAAAGGACCTCTGGAAGCAGCATATACATTTCAGAATTGCAGGTGCATTTATGCAGCCCCAAGCGGGAGACATAGAAATGCTACAATTAGAGAGAATTAGAACTCGTGCTATACCCTCATAAAATAGGTCTTTAAGCACACGATCAAGGACAGTTGGGGGAGGTATGACGGCAGTAGACTTTAAATTCTCAGGTCTTGAGTGCTCTACTGCAAAAAAAGCAGATTAGGAAACAAGTGTTAGAATCTAACAACTTTACATGTATCCCAAGTCTGACATTGCAGCCCGATTAATCAGAAAATTGCAGATGGTGTGTGCACATTTATAGAACCTGAAACAAAATCTTCCACAAATTGTGTTTCCAGTGACATAAGCAAAGCATCAATTAAAAGCTGCAACTGCGATGCAAATCCAATTCTCTTTCCATCAGAATCAGCACTTCTGAATACACCAAATGCTTATGAAATGAGACTCCAAACTGGTGCACAAAGTTCAGTCAAAACCAATAAAGACTGAATCAGAAGAAATTATTACAACAACGACAACCACCCAGTATAATCCCACAAGTGAGGTCTGAGGAGGGTAGTGTGTACGCAGACCTTACCCCTACCCTGGGGTAGAGAGGTGATTTCTGATAGACCCTCGGCACAAGAGGATGAAATGCGACAACAGAATAGTAAGAATAACATAACCAGAAAGATAGTACAAGCGAGTTAAGAGTCAGAAAATCAGAAAAAACTATTAGAAACATGATTTCTAAAGACCCTGCCACCTCTAATGTGATAGCTAGGACATTATGGAGAAGCTTAATCTTGGATAAAAGCATCCTTCAGTGGATTTTGATGCAACTGGTCAATTTTGCAGAACTCAATGTTTCAACTATAGATAGCCCTCCTTCCACTCAGTAACACCCCAAAAGCAAAATAAATAAATGAGGCAAGAAAAGAATGAAAACAAATTAAATTTCACTATTTCTAAAGTATATTTGGCAGAGCGTTTAAAGCATTACAGTGTCAATTCCCTCCTCTTAATGTAGAATTAGAGACTCACCAAAATGCTACAAGAAGATGACGATTCATTTCGATACCTAGTCGAAAATTTAGTTTAGAAAGCTCATCTACCTCACTGAAGAAAAGCTGCATGGTTTGGGAAGATACACAGCTTGAAATCTCTTAAACTACTGCATAGATAGTGAATTGGCAAGACAGGAGTCACAACATGTATTACCCATTATCCTTTGCCAGTGGGAAGTTTTTGGACAAGCATTAGCCAGACCCACTGGAAGGGAAAACTTGCACTTGTGGGTGGTTAGCATCCCATTCATCAAGTCACTAGGCCAGCGGTCAAAATTTAAGTTCAGAGAAATATCATGTCATAGCATTGAAGCTTCTTGCTGCCAATATTGTTATATATTTCCATGATAATCAAGACTTTTTGTCACGCAAAGTGACTAGCCGCTATAGTGTAGAGCAAATACTTTAAAAATAATCACTTTCTTTCGCTACATTGAATCATCGACTTCTAAAGCAATTAAAAACATTCATCTGGATATTTGGAGGTTTTATTTAATTGTGTGTATCAATATAATTCATTAAGAAAGTAGTGAGAAGGCCCAAGTCTTTTATTTTTTTCATGAGCATGCATTAGCGAAAGAAGAACAAGTCTTGTATTCAGATTATCTCTTACAGAATCTCAGATAAGCATGGAGATATCGACCACTTCTCAGCCTCAAGAGGTGAAGCATTTTCCAGCTCAGCCATTTCTAGTGAACTCTCAATTGCCTTCTCAGACCATGCAGTAAGCAGCTCAAAACCTGCATCATTAACGAACACATGTAGTAAATAACACTAGTGGACAGAGAAGAAAGAATTAGACTAAGATCAATCTTTTGTACCAACACCTTAAAATTTCTAAGCAAATAATATACAAAAAAAGTAATAGTGGGGATAGAAAAAAAAAATGAACTAGAGTATTACAACCGCCAAAAGAAAGACATTCTCTCCAGTTAAAGCCTCTTAAAAATCCTTTCCATCTCAATGTTCAGAGTTGGTAATAGAACGATAATTTTCCTCAAAGCACTCCCGAATAATGGTAAGGCCAAAAACCGGGTACTTAATAAAAAGAAAAATAGTGGCTCCTTTATTCATAAAAGTCATTCTAAGAAGAGCTCCCAGTTATGAGTAAAGATCCAAACATCCAATTATGAGAACTTAAAGCAGCAAGTCAGCAAAATCAGGCTAAGATGGTCTCATGTCACTCCCTCTAATGAGCTCCGACAAGATCTGATGACAGGAAATATAGTTGATACAGGTATTACTCTCTCAGAAACATAATTACCTTTTACTGGGTCCTCCGCAGAGTACCACTCACTCCAAGGACAATCGTCATCCCATGGTTTTCTATTATGATGTTTGCTTTTGGGACTTCCCCCTGCTTCTGTAATGCCTCCCTCAGGTTCTTGTACATCAGAATCCTCATCGTAGGGAAGTGTACGATAGGTCAGCTTCATCTTGAGATTGACTTGAAAAAGATGCATGGACAGGTCCATATTGGAGAAGGCCTTGAGCAAGGAATTCAAGATAGACATGTTGGAAGCACATTAGCCGAATATAATCAAAAGCTCATAGAGCAAGTAATCTAATACCTTGAAAGCAAGAATAGATGCAATTTTCGAGAACATATAATTCATTTAGGCTAATAGCTGGGCATAGAAACATTTTAGAGGCGTGTGAGTATGTTATAAAATTTATTTTTTTATATCGGTAAACCTACCCCCAAACTTCCTTTACAGGAGCCCAATACTGACCCTTTTTCCACTTTGCTCCTTTGGTGACTCAAACCCCCAACCTTACAGTTGGAGGTGGAGAGTCATTACCACCAGGTTATCCCTCCCTTGTCATGTCACTAAAAGGCCGATTAAATTAACGCATAAGGAGGATATCCAAAATATGATTTTAAATGGGGGCAAGATAAAGAATCATTCTGGACATGAATTCAATATGCTGCTATGCCAGAATGTAAATATCATCTAACAAAAAGAGTAAAGCACAAAAACTTAGATCTACCAAATGCAAACTCTGTAAAAGTAGGTCATGGAACATCAAACATGAAGTTCTGTTTACACTTTAGGAGATGCAGCATATCATCGAGGCTCGCAAGATCTACTAACCATCAGAATCTACAAATCACTTGGAATATCGAAAGTCTACACAAGAAGAACTTACAAATTTAGAAACAAATAGCTCATACAATCCCTCCAGATGCATAAGCTTCAATGGCACCTGGCTACCTATACGGTCAGCTTCAAATCGTCTAGTGTAAAGGGTTCCCATGTTCTGGATGCCAATGTATGCTTTACGAGAAGGAACATGCACTGGAACAAATGCTGGCCACAAACTGCATGGTGTGAGCATATCAACTATTTCCTACATTGTTCATTACAGAATGGGAAGAAGTATAACAAATATAAAGCCAAGAGTTGAGCATTGTCAGTTCATGAAGAAGACCGAAGTACAGATATGACTTCAACTTTAGTGAAGCAGATAAGAAGTTCCAGCAAATTTAGCTTGGAAATGTGAGAATTTTAAACCTCAGTTTCAATATGTTGTGGTCTATTCTAGTGTCTTATTCGTCTCTGCATTTTTTCAGTCCCCTTTTTAATAACAACGCGGCGTTTTTCAAAGCCCCTTTTTAACAGAGAGAAATAAAGGTGCATTGAAAAGTCTACATCTTTTTATAGGTTGCTACTTTTAATAGTACTGGCATAATGGCTTTTCTTATTGATGGAATGTTCTATTCATGCAAATTAATATATACAGCTTTCCAAGTAAAAGTTTCAAGTTAGATAAATCTGATTCCCCCTTTAATGCTCAGTTTTAACACATTACTCAGAAAAAAGCACCACGAAAGTTCTTGAAGTTTACAATACGGCGTTCAATTTTAGCCTCTCTTTAATTGTTTGGAGAGCTGAGGAAATTCATAAAGTCGGGGTAATTAAAGAATTTCAAGGACTTTCAGTTTTACTCTTTTTTTAAAAAGGGAACATTTGAAACATGTGCTGCTTGCCAAAAGGAAAATATATGAAACATAGCCTTTTCCTACTCGTGATTCCTAATAAACCAACATCACTTACTTCATATTAACTACAAATTTCATACATTCAATTCAAAAATGTTACTCAGAAGCAGGAAAATACTATTCTGTTTCCATTTATATCTCCTTTGTTTTAGCCTCATCAACCTCTGACAGGATTTTGCTCAAGGCTCTACATCCAGCGCGATCAAAGGCGCGCTTAAGCCCTGAAGCGAGGCTCAAAATATGTTGAGTGCTTCGCCTCGCTTAGCGGCGCTTTAGTGTTGTCATCAAGGCTCTGAGGCATATTTTTCCTTGCCAATGAACATAATCCTGAAGGGGCGACACTAAACAATTGATATTTTATTTTATCATAAATTTTCTTCAATTTCTTTATCCATATATTTGGTATTCATGCTTATAGATATTAGTCTAGAACTACACCTATATATTTGTAGTTTTTTCCCATTTGCGTCTTTCTTCATTAAAGCCCATGCTTTATCTGCACTTTGCGCTTAAATCCCCACTAGACCTAAGAGCTTTTTTGCGCTTTTCGCTTTTAATAACATTGTCTACATCACACCCCTTGGGGTGCGACCCTTCGTCGGACTCTGCATGAATGTGGGATGCTTTGTACACCGGCCTACCCTTTTTTTAGCGAACGATTTTGGAAAAGAAGGATGAGTGCTTGAATTACTAAAAACACTACAGGAATAAAGTACATAGAATAGTATCACCATGTGAGAACATACCAGGAACAATTTGACAAGGCAATAGCAACTGCACTTAGAAGCTTGCTGGCCTCCGGTCCATCAAGAACCACTCCACTGGCACTTTGAGGAGCAATCACCTAAGATGAGCACTCAGAATTGAGAGAGAGTAAAACAATATAACCTAGATCAAGGTACTAAATATACAAGAAACAGGTCATCCTTCTGTATGGACACGAGTGAGGGGAGAGAGATAGAGATACCAGGAACTCATTCACCCCAAAAGACAGTTGCAGATCATGCAATGCACAACTCCAGTCATTTCCTTTTCCTCGACCAACTAAATCAAGGAGACACATAAGTCAAAAAATGAGAACACTAGCTCTCAGCTGGATTTTTACAGCAGAAAATTTTCATACCATCATTATGTGTTCCAAAATAGTACTCCATGCAATAGCTTTTCATCGCATACTTCAGGTCAGTTTTGACCTTATATAGGTCCTCAGAGATATTCACACTAATAGCACCATTTTTCTGTCATTAAAATAATATGCAAAATACAAAAAAAGAAAAAAAAGAAATCCATGAACAACATCAAAATACCTGTTGGTCACTCTTCAAAGTATAATTCAATTTAGTATTTTCTCAAGAAACTACTTGCTGAAAAACTGAATAAAACCTCTATCAAGTATTATACAAGTCAAAGCATCACGACGAGACTAAGTCCCATGTCATTTGGATTGGACAGGAATTGATATATGCCAGCACCTGGACAATATCATAAACATTTCAAAGACATGATAAATCATACCAGCAAATTCTTGGTGCCATCAGCCAACCACTGCCTGCAAACTGCCTCTATCTCAGATATGAACCTACAAATTTAGTAACTTCAGATTCTATGCTCCTATCATCCTATGTCTACATTGTGATCTAAGCTTTGAGGACAAAATAACCAAATGCAGTAAATTCTTATGGTTAATTAAGTACCTTTCCCACGAAGAGGCCAGGGTAAAATCATCAAAATGTTCAATCTGCAATAAATAATAAAAACAATTTGAGAACCAGGTCAATTAGCTCAATTTGCGTTCCTTCGACAATTACAACACTGAAACCCCAATGTCTAAGATATTCTAAAGTTTTTCCACTAATGATTTACAAGTTCCCTCCTTTCTGTTGCAACGCACCAGTTTACTTTCCTGAGATACAATCCGAACTACAGAGTATAGCTTTAATCTATTTCAAGTTAAGGATCCACCTCTGATACAACCGCCAATCACGAAGAAATTCCGACTTGTATAGACGATTTGTAAGAGCATTGTATAGTTTTGCCAGAACTATTCCAACTTGGTGTTAGATTAATAATTACATTAAATTTATCACCGTAAAATAATCATAAAAACAAATTTAAACAGACGTAAGAATATACCTCCTCTTCTAGATCCTCATCCTTTGCAGAGCTTGGTATTTTGCTAATTGATGCCATTAATTTTTGCAGAAATCAAATTGCAGTTCGCAATTTGTTTAAATACAGGACAATTTCAAAGATAATGTCTCCAATTATGTTGATAACTATAACATTTTCTTGTTGACTAATTCTATCTCAATCCTCGCTAATTAACGAAGAATGGAATAATGGATCAACTGGTGAGAGAATTAAGTATTAATCATGTGTGCATGTGCATAGACCCGGAGAGTGGGAGAACATAACGGTTGGGCTATAACGGCGTCAGACTGTACGGTGAAGCGTATTTGACCAAAATGTTAATGCCATCTCACTGATAAAAGACCAAAAAGCAGAATAATTCAATGTTCCAGTAATAACGATATTCTATTATTTTTTGCTTTGCTTTGCTTGCAAATGACTTAAAAAGAACCGCTCTTAAAAATTCTAATCTGAGCCAACGGTAAAAGCAAACGATGAACAAAGAGATTTATTTTTAACGAATTTCTTCGCTGAAAATGTTTGATGAAATCTTAACTAATTACTATTGTTTGTATAGATCTTTTTCAATCATTTTACCTAATGTTATAAATAGAATTATTGTACCTAATGTAATAGATAGAATTTTATTTATAGGGAATGTTCATATTTAAAGAGATTCTAGGGTTTATTACTTGGTGTCACTCTTTCCCTATAAAAAAAGGTTCTATTCCATTGTAAATAATCTCAAAACAATAAGAATTCTTTCTCTCTACTTTTCTCTGCAATACTCTCCTTCTTTTATTGTTTCATAATACGTTATCCGCACGAGACTCTAACCAATTGAATAGAAGCTTTGGGATTGAGCATAATGATTGTTAATTGTTCCATGAACTTCCTTCATGATTAAATCCTAGATTTAAGGTAAGCATTTTACTTTTCTCTTTCAAATTCTTGACATTCTACAATTTGATTTTAAATACAAACAAAGACCATAAATTTTGATTGTAACTCTAATGGAGTTTGAAAGAAATTATAACCACCCAAAGTGGTAAAATTTCTATGTCTTGCCATGATCAAATTCATGTATGATTGTGGGCAAAGAATTAAAAACTCGTCCTATTGAATTTTCTCCATTCTCATTCCCTTAAGAGAATGTGATAGCAGTATGTGATAAATCTGAAAGAAGACAAAATTATTACTGTGAAGATATCAATGGACGTGGACGTGGCAATAGACGAAATTATAATCGTCATCATCAGAGGCGGATCCAGAATTTCAGAAGGATGGGTGCACCACCATCCGACCACCGTTTGATTTGGTTCTCTAAAACTTACCTTGGAGAACTATCAATAATAGCATCATTATTTATAGTTACAAGTACTAAAGCTCAATATATTAAAATTAAATAACTAATCAAAAAGAGAGTGGTAAATGAAAAAAGAGGAAACTTGAAATTGAAAAGATTCAAAATGATTTAAATTTTATTTTTTATAGTTTTTGAAACTCAATGATTGAACTAAAAAATAGAATGAAGAAAACACAGAAAAGAATCCAATAAAAATGAAAATTTAATTCAAGGATATATCAAAGGGTGAACCCAAAAACATAAAAATTGCATGGGAAAAAAAGAAAAGAAAGATAGGGCATGAAATTTGAACTGAACAGAAAAGAAAAGAACGAAAAAGAGAAATAGAAAAGGAAAAGAAAAATGGATAAGAGATGGAAAATATAGAAGCGAGATTTGAACACTAGACCTAAGGGTCAATGACGCACAAAGCTACCACTACACCAAATGCTCTTTTGACCATGGGTTCCCACGCGAAAAGTTAAATACTTTATTCGAAAAACATCTCTGTGATACACAGCCTAAGGAGGGGAGCAGGGGTGCACGTGACCCATGCCCCTCCACGTGGATCCGCCTATGGTCATCATTGTGATAATGGGAATAATAAAGATTCTCAAAACAATCTTTCACTTTGTGAAAGTAATATTTATCATTGATTTGACATGAGTGTTTAACCAAAAATTGGGATTTCGGTCAAAGCTTATTTTAGAAGAACTCGAGTTACTGATAATCAAATAGAAATAAGAATAATTGAAAAATAATAACTGAATATGATGCAAAGTAAATCAATGTATTCCAATAGTATTCCGTGTCCTTACAAATGATCAGTTTTCTCCTTTTATAGCTATCTCTAGGTGATACGTTTTGTTTCTACCATAATAGAGCCATTAGTGACAATTAATGACATTTAATGTAATGTTACAATTGGTAATCATATTTGATTTGACACAGATTCCTTAACGTTTTCCGTATTTAATGCCCAGTAATATGTATCTATACCTTATTTACTATCAGATTCATTCTCTTCAATCATAAAGAGGTTCGAGCGTCTATCTTTTCTTGTTTTTCCTGAATATCTGCCCGTGCCTGTTGAAGCTCGTGCCTCTTTGATTATTCTTTGCCAACTATCACCCTTTGACTGCTCCACGTGTCATGACGTATCATCTTACAATAAATTTCATATATGAACTTAATTTTTCACAATACAGATAGTCCTCACACTTGCCATTTATTCATCAATAGAATATTTGGGAAGTGAATCTCATTAAAACGGGAGTATTTGCCGCCATTAATTCTTCTCCGGAACTAATGCTTCATCTGTCACTTTCATTTAATGTCTGTGACACGTGGCATCTCTTGGTTGGTTCTGCAATCTTTCAACGTCTTTTAAGGCTTTTTTACGGCTTCATCAATTACGAAACGACAGTTCTCATTATGACGCTTCCATCATTGCACATTTTCCTTTGATGGTTGCTTTTGACTATAAATATAATTTTTTACCTTTGTTTTTTCACAAAAGTTTAGAGTATTCAATTCTAATTTTCTTCTTCCTCGTACTACTATGTCTTCTTCAAACCCTAACCCTCGGAGGGTCCCCATTATTGACAACCTTCCTCTTGCTCCTGTTAGAAGTAGAAGAGGGGGAAGGCTTCGTAGTTTAGGGTCTTCTTCATCACAAGGCCCCTCTACTCCTTCATCGAGTTCTACTCCACCTTCTAGAACTAGAGGTTCTCTTTATCAAAGATCTTCATCTAGGACTAAAGAACCCACTGAACCTCTTCGTGAACCTTTAGTGGATGAAATTGTTCCCGCTAGACTATCTTTTTACAATGATAGAGAATCCACCAGAAACCAAATGTCTTTGTTAGATCGTGCTGACATTTAGCCGACTCAGATCACTGAAGGTCTGATTTCTGTAGTTCGTAGAGATTGTCATTGGAGTCATGACTTCCCCATTATAATCCATAATGCGAACCAAAGAATCACTTCTTATTTAACTGGGTTTTCTTTTGTTTATACATACCCTTTCACATTGAATTTCAAACCTGCTATTGACTCTGTTATCATCGAATTCTGTCGCTTCTTTAATGTTTGCTTAGGACAAATTGGTCTCATCGTATGGAGGGTTGTTGCTTGCTTGAGGTATTTGACCTGCATGGTTGGAATGCCTTTTACTTTCTTTCATTTGATCCATCTCTATTCTCCCAAACTTTTTCGTCAAGGAATCTTTACTTTAGTAGCGAGAAGTAAAAGAGTTCTAGTCAGTCCAGAAGACGATAAGGACCATGGCTGGTATGCCAGGTTTGTTGCTGCCCCCACTGTTGGTTTACTGGGTGATGAGAATGTTCCCTTTCCCGAGAAGTGGAATTTTGCATGTGAGTTTACTGTTTATAACTTTCTCATACTTTTTCTCAATTTTGATGGTTGTCATTTTAATTTCCTCTTCTTTTTCAGCAACCATGGGAGTTGTTGATAAAATTCTCAATTTCCGTGGTTAGGTAGGAAAGTTGTTAAGTGTTGCTCCGATGGAAGGTAGATCCTGGAAAAACCTTTCTCATCGGTTTGGTTGGAAAGTGAAAACTCACGGTAAGTGCTTTCTTCTCTATATCTTTTGTATTTCCGTTCACTTCTTTCCTTTACAAATTATTTTGACCCATTTTTTTGTCAGGATTTCCCATTCGAGGCATAACCACTGAGGATGTCGTAGCTTCCAGAATTTCTTTGGAAAGGGCCCAAGAGATAATTTTGGGTTCTTCGAAAAGGAAAGCTTCTACTGGTCAAGACTCAGAGGAAGAATAAGATGGGGGTTCTTTAGTAAAAAGGCAAAGGGCTAAAAGACAAATTATTTCAGATGATGAAGCATCTCCCCCTCGTTTTATTCCTCTCACCGAGCATGTTGAAGCCTCGTTGGTGATCTCCTATGATGATACTCCTGCTGCTGCTCGTGATTCTGTTGAACAGTTTTTTGCCTGCGGGTTTGGTAGTCAAAGTTTAGGACCAGTTTCTGATGAAGCACCCCTTGCTTCTTTTTTTACATCTGCTCCTATGATACCCTCTTTGCCAGTCATGACTGTTGTCGTTGCTGCTCCGCCCCAGGTTGTTTTGACTCCTTCTACAGTTCCTCCTGCAACTATCCATCACACTGAGGTTGGCTCCTCAAGTGGAGGTGAAGCTATGAGGCAAGTTATCATCGAAGTTCCTTAGAGCAGCAGGTAAGGATTTTAACTTCAGAGTTGGTGGTTGAAAAAGCTTCTTCAAACCAAGTTGGTAAAGACAATAATCTCCTTGAGACATCTTTTTCCGAGCAACTCTCCAAGGATAGTGAAGAAATCAGAGAGTTGAATGCTCTCTTAAATGAAAAAGAAGTGTATGTCGGTGAACTTGTGCAAACTCAGACTCAGACTCAAGAAGACCTCCGGGAGTCTTCTGATAAGGTTCGTTCCTTAGAAAGTTCACGTGCTTCTCTTCAAACTTCTTTCGATTCTACCTTGGCTGAGAATGAGAAGCTTAAAAGTGAAATTACTGAATGGGAGAAAGATAACGAGATTCTTTAGGACAAGACTGCAACTAAAGTTTGTTGGGCGTTTTTAAATACTCGTCATGATACCCTTGTGGAAGTTAGCCAAGAGAATTTTAACTTGGAAGCTGAGTTAGCTAAAATAAGAGAAACTATTGAAAAGACTCAGGAAGGCCAAGACTTTCCCTCTCTCGTGGCTGAAACTTCTAAACATATTGAAGATGATATGGGTACGGTGAGTGTTCCAACTCCTTCAAGTTAACTTGAATCTACTGCTGTTGGTGACCCTGTTTTGGTTCCTTCTTCAACTCCTAAGTGACAAGTTTATGATATGTGACTCCCTTTTTTTTCCTTTTCTTTGGTGGAATGTGATTATAACCCTTGGTCCCATTTGAGGGTTTTGTTTAAAAATATCAAGTC